TGCCCTGAAGGTCCTGCATGTTTAGCTCGGCGACGTAGTGAGTCGCGGAGGAGACGGTGACCACTCGGGAGCAGCGGCCCGGGGACCCAGCCTCCTTCAGGCTGCCCAGGAGCAGGTTGGTGAGCAGGAAGTGGCCCAGGTAGTTGAGGCCAAAGTGTTCCTCGAATCCGTCCTCGGTCTGCCGCTGAGGCACCATCATGACTCCAGCTGGGGAAAAACAAGTCAGGGACGGTCAGGTGGGGTGCGACGGTGGGTCCCAGGTGGGTCGGGTCTGGGGGCTGAGAAGCCGCTGAAGATACACAGAGGGGCGCGGTCCGGTCCTGCCTCCGCTCTCACCTTTTTTTGTCTGAGACACAAAGGTCTCCCCGTGTGGCCCAGGCTGGCCCGGGACTTGTGGCGATCCTCCCGCCTCAGCCTCCCGAGTGCTGGGACGAGGGGCGTGCGCCACCATGCCCAGCTCGAACTCTCGGCATTGGGGGTGTCAGTTTCCCGATTTGGGTGTGGTGGGATGAGGTGGACAGAGAAACAGTGGGGCATGCCGTGTACATGTGATCCGTGGAGACCACGCTCGTCAGGACGGGCTGAAAGGAGGACCATCCTGTCCCACGACTCACAGAAGCTCAGAGAGGGTCGGATGGGCTGCAACTGACAGCCTCGTGCTGGTACGGCGCCCTCTCCCTCCCAGAGAGTCGGACAACTCGAGAACGGAGAGGTCCACGAAAGCCAGCGGGGGGCAGCGGTGCCCTCCTGTCATCCCATCACTCTGGGAGGCTGAGGCAGGAGGGTTCCGAGCTGGGCAGTGTAGTCACGGAGGGAGACCCTCGTCTCAAAATAAAATAGAAACGAAGAAAAGGGCTGGGGATGTAGATAAGAAGGAAGGCCCTGGGTTCCTTCAGCAGTACTGCACATAAAAAAGAAGAGAAGGCAGGAAGGAGAGCGAGAGAGAGAGTAGGAGAGAGGGAGAGAGAGCTCCAAGTCGCCTGCTAGCAGCTCCAGCTGGGCCGTTCTCTACGCACGACCCCGAAAGCGCGTTCTCCGCTCCATGGCTCGACCCGCAGACCCTCGGGGCCCAAGGCCCGTTCGTACCTAAGCCCAGCTCGGCGTCGGCCCTTGGGGTTTGTTGAGGGTCTGACCTTGGCGATCTCACAGCGAGAAGCTTCTGCCTCTGCGCCCTGAGCGGCCGGCGGGCTCAGCTCTCGGACGGGAGGCCTGGGGAGGGCAGGCGGACGCGGACATGTGGCTTTCTGTGCCTTACTTTCTGGTTTCCTTGTATTTTATTTTTATTTCGACGTAACGGAAACAGATATTAGTTAAGAAAGCATTTTTTTAGACACTTTCACTTCTGTGAAAAAAATAAAGCGAAAACCTCACAACACATTAATTGAAGAATAACATTAGTTAACGCTCTGTGTACCAGAATCTCAGCAGAATGGCCGACGTGTTACAGCACAAGTCGTCGACAAAAAAGACTCCTCCAGAAAAACAGAAAGAAACAAATAGGAAACTGCACAAAAATTTCCTTTCCGTGAACTTAGCACTACAAATCGAATTAGCGTGTATACTGTAAATATTTCTGAAACCTCAGAACACCCGGGGAATTATTAGAACTTTTTCATTATTGTTAAACCATTAGTGTTTCATTAGAATCTTTTAAAAAATTATGACAGCGAAAGTCACATCGCCACCAGCCGTCTCCCTCCTCAAACACGACCCCTGTGGTTTCAAACGCAGCTCTCCCACGGCAAGACGGGCCGCCCCGTGTGGCGCCCCGGCCACCATTCGCACAGGGTACCCCACTCTCCACCCCAAGATTCCCGGAGTTCACAATCACAGAGGGCGATTCACCAGCACGCATCATTCACACGGAAAAACCGAGAGAGAGAGAGAGAGAGAGAGAGAGAGTTCCTGTCTACCAATAATAAAGTCACTCAGAGAGAAACTGGGAAAAGACTGGCGTAACAGCGGTGAGGCAGTCAAAATATCCGTGCTACCAAAACTTTTATGCAGATGAAACGCAATCCCAGCCAAGACGCGAACAGCATGCCTCGCGGGTCTACAGACAAGGACCCGACAATTCATAGGCAACCACAGGACATTGACACGGCAGAGAGCTTGGGCAACAAGGGCGAAGAGGGAGGCACTGCTGGGCTGGCTTTCAAGTTCTGTTACAAAGCCATGCTGGAGAACATAGCTCCGTACGAGCACAGACAGGCAGGAGGGTCGGCGGCACACAGAAGAGAGGACGGAGAAACAATGCAGGCGCACCCGGCCAGTCGATCTTTGACAAAGGGGCCAGAAACACCTGCTGCAGAAAAGGCAACCTCTTTAATGGACGCAGCTGGGAAAGCTAGCTTTCACACGCAGGAGACTGAACGGGGACCCACGTCGCTCACCGAGCAGTAAGCGAACGTCGCAACGGATCGCAGATCTAAACGTCAAAGCAGGAACAAGCTCCCGGAAGGGAAAATGGGTAGAACTCCAGAGATCCAAGAAATAGCGCCGAGAGTCAACGCCTGGGAGCACCTCAAAGTCAAAGGCTCCGCGCAGTAAAGGAGGTGGACGGAGGAGACGACCCACAGGGTACGGAAAGAACTCGCACGTCAGGCACCGCCTGAAATGAAAAACACAATCGAAACGTGAGCGAGCGAAACGAATAGACACTCCGCGGGCTCCCACAGAGGGGCCCGAAACACAAAGACCCACAGCACTGTGGCCACGAGAGAAATGCGGGTACGGACAACAGTGGGGTTCCATCCCTCCCCAGAAAGCACGGCCGTCACCCAGAAGACGCGGAGTCCTAAGTGCTGGCCACTCTGCGGGGAGCAAAGGGACCCTTCTGCCTTATCGGTGGGGTGTAAACCAGTGGAACCACTGTGGAAAACAGTGTGCACGTTCCTCAGAAAGTCAGAACCACACCTTCCTTCTGACGCAGCTGTTCCTCTTCCGGGTGCCTTCCCTGAAGCGTTAAAGACCTCCTATTACAGGGATCCAGGCACAGCCGTGTGGGCAGCAGCACAGCTCACAACAGCTGAGTCTCGGAGGCAGCCTGTATACCCATCAGCAGATAACTAGAGAAATGTTGCACGGTGTGGAGTAGTACGCAGCCCTGAAGAAGGACACGCTCGAATCATTTGTAGAAAACCACGGATGCGCTTTGAGACCAGGATAATAAGTGAAGTAAACGAGATACATAAGCTTCAATATCAGGTGGTTTCTCTCTTAGGGGAAACCCAAAACATAGTAAAGAGCAAAATAAAGGATAGACAGAGTAGAATACAGGGAGACAGATCTGTTTCAATGGGAAGGAGCTCAGGAGATGGAGGGAGGGAGAGTGGGAGCAAAAGGAGGTGGAAAAACATTAAGCTGTGCTCTTGACGTGCACCAGCTCCACACAAGGGACGTCAGCATTAGGTACAGCAAACAAGGAATAGCACAAAGTAAAGTGCAAAATCAATAAAAGACAAAAACAGTGAGCGGTAACATAAAGAATTATTAGAGTACTTTAATGACAATAAAGAATTATTACACACTGTCATTCCCCCCCCGCACTCTGAACGCCCTCCTCCCGCCGTCCCGGCCGCGTCCCGCAGCAGCTCTGAGTCCTCTCTCCCCAGGGTCTTCAGCTGCGCCGTCCCGGCCGCCTCGAGGTCCCGAGTGGACCCAAAACGGTTT